CCTCTGCAACGCATGATGATTGCGGTAATGACGACTTAAGCTTTCGGACAGAAGAAACAGATCGAGCGTGCTCAGATTATGCTTAAGGGTGGCATTAAAGAGCAGCAGATGGCTTCTATGCAGAAGTGTATCGTCGCTATGGGTGGTGCGGGTGGTATGCCTGGGATGGGAGGTATGGGTGATATGGCGAAGATGATGCAGATGTTGCAGGGTGGCGGGGGCCCTGGCGGTGCAGGCGGTGGAGGGATGCCTGGACTGGGAGGAGGAGGCCGCTAACCAATCCAACCTATATACGCAAATAGCCCTATATATCAAAATTGATGGCTTGTATATGGGTCATATTATATCGATGGCAAGATCGACCTGCGGAATGGACGGCGTTGTCACGTTGAATGGAATGACTCAAGTAAGTGGCAATCTTCCAGAGCTCAAGAACAAGATTAAATTAGCAGACTTGATATTTCCAGGGTGAAGAGTAAAGTCACAAGATAGCACTACTCACGGGTGTCCGGGTTTGGCAATGGATGCACCATGAGGGAGAACACGATTTATTCCATAGCCCTTCGGTCTTTGAAGACCCATAATATTTGTCAAGCGACGCATCACGCCCAGAAATCCCTTACCATTCCGCGCCTGTTGCACATCCTCCATATTGTTTAACCTCTCTCCCCACCTCTGAGTTCCCTTTTCCTCCTTCCTTCGTGTCTTTCCCTTCTTCTTGTTGGACCTACCCTGTTGCTTCTGCATATCCTTTGTGTCCTTTGCCTGTCGGCCCTGACGGGCCTTTTCTCCGATGATTCTTTGCTTCTGAAGCTTCTTCTCCCCGTTAAATCTCCGATTCCGGAGAGCTTTTTCTTCCTTAGCTTTCTGTCTCTCAAATTTCTTCTGTTGCTTTTCTCTTTGTTTCTCTTGTGCCATTTCTTCTTTGGAAGCCCTCCTGCCCTCTGATTTTAGGCGACCTGCTTGCTGTTCCATTGCCTGTGCATGGAAATCCTGCTCTGTGAAAGGGGTTTCACTGGTTGGCTCGAAAGCAGTACCAGGAGCCGCGTTGATGGCCAAAGGAAATTGTTTTTGGGCAAGATTTTCTTCGGACGCCCCTGCCGTGGCGGACAATCTGGGACCTGGTTCGCGAGTAATGAAATCGCTGAAAGCTGCCCTTTGTACAATGAAACCTTCACCTTTAGCACGCATCACGTCAGGTTTTTCAACTGGAACTCTTCTGATAGTCGGTCTTCCGGCAGTTTCATGTACAGCTTCTGCATTCCCCACCTTGCCTTCTCGTGCGACACCTTCTTGCGCAGATGAAAAAAGAGTGTGATTCTGGAAGGAGACCGGTCGCTGGGCAGGAGGAGCTGCTGGTTGCATGGGGAATTCACTATACATATCCAAGACTTCACTAACCGATCTTTCAAATTGCATTTCGTATTCCTCTGTTGTTCGACCTTCCAAGACTTCGGTGCACCCTTCCAGACCGTATGCAGCTTCGCTTGTTTGCATAGCCTCTCTCGCAATAGGTGCCAGCTGAGTGGTAGAAGCCATTGCAGATCTTGACGTTGCCGTAGTATACGTGGCAGTGGTGCCCATCAAAGAGCCAAGAGTGGTAGAGTCTCTCCGTGGAATCCCAGCCAGAGGGTCATGCGCAAGGGGTCGACTTTCTCTACCTTTCCCCAAAATAGGTCGTGGAGGGGACTCTCCAGATATATGCAATTTGTGCATAACCTTTGTAGCTTTATGCAGCGTGTCTCTGGTTAGCCACGGAGTAGCTGGAAATACAATGCGCGAAAAGAGAGAGAAAAGAGAGGAAGATATAGAATGATCGAAACAATCCTTACGCCTTATTATTTGTGAAGGAGGTCCGCCATGGAAGCAGGCAGATGCGGTCTTCTCATTATGTACTCCGATTTGGCCCACTCCTATTTCTCCCAAGGAGATGGTTAGCGTTTCTAGACCGGTATGTGTCGCCCATCGACACTAGTTGTGCGCGTTGAACCGTATCCGCCTGTGTCCTCACCTGAAGCGTCAATTATGACATTCGCTATCCTTTGAGCCCCATGCTGCGAGTCCCCCGTCCCCCCAAAACCAGAATCAATTCGGCAATGTTTCAGATCAGGAGATGTGCCAGCTACCACTGCTCCCATTTCGTCTGGGTAACGTGGCAGAACTTTGTCGGATGCCCAACTGGACCGTATATTAGCCAGATGTGATCCTTGTCCAGATATAATGGCATCTGTTCTCCGCCTTGGCCGTGATATACTCTTTTCGGGGCGCGTGGCTTTTTTATGTCTATCAATTCGTCAGGACCTGCTAGTGCGAAGTAGGGGACGTCATGAAGGATATACATCAAGGACTTTATCTTCTGCATAACGTATGGAGTAGAGATTTTATGGTTTTTCGCCCTCGGAAAAAGGTGGCAAGGGTGGAATTAGACTGTCCAATAGAACGAGAAAAGGAGAATTCCGCAGAAAGGTCTTCAAAGCTTTTTTCATGATTTTTCTTCGGATGCGCGGCTGGGTTGCAAGGATCTTTCGACATGACACATGGGGTAGTTGGCGAAGTTTCTGGAAACGCCGGGAGGAACCCCACAAGGCACGAGCAGCAATCCCAGACAGGGTAGAGACACGTGTCAAGTCATAAATAGGGCAAAAAAACAACCCCTATGGCATATACATATATGTACATGGACATATTATATATATATATGTACATTAATATACATGGTAATGCTGAAGCGATTGAGGAGAGTGTCACTATATATCTCTGTTTTCGAATGGTTTTCGTTGTAAAAGAGTAATGACTATGGCAGCAGATTGAATTCGTCGAAAGACGGAACATTTATGTCATGAAGTCATTCAACGTCATACCTGTATAGCAATGATTGGCTAAAACCCACATGGCTGTAGCAGGAGCCAAAGAAACACAGGTCAGCTTGCTGGCTGGAAGAGCAGAGATTGGTGTTTACATGTAGTGTCTGATGCTCTAACCTCTTAACTCTACGTGCCCATGCTTTAGCAAGTGAAAATCGTGACCACGGATAAGGTGAGTCGTCTGTTCTACGGTGCCACACCTTACAAGGAGTTTAAAATTCTTTCATCCCTCATACACATATATCTACGAATACGTGCGCTGAGAGTAAGAAAATGTTCCTCATCTGCCCAGCAGCAGATGGGTGATAAACTCCACATCATATCTGCTGCGAAAGCTGGGTCGACTCCTATCATTAGAATCCCATCTAAACAAAACCCTTCTCCAACTCCTCCAACGGGGGAGGGATATTGCAAATATGCAAACTACGAAAACATCCTGGAGCAGTCGATACACAGAGGACGTCCAAAGAGGCGGGCGGGCGGACCTCCCACCAGAGCTGCCAAGAAAAATTAGACGCGTCTAACGCGTAAAAGGGACCCGGAACGCGGAAGAACGTGACCCTGCAGGAGGCGCTAATAATGCTTAAAATGTTGGGGGGCGTAAGGCGCACGCGCGCCGTCGCCCCGAAGCGACCGCCCCCGCACGTGATTCCGCTTATAGACCGCGTTTAGCTCTTACCCTCCCCCGAGATGCAACTCCCCCTACAAGGACGAACCATCCCAACATGCGATGTGTCACAGTGGAGTGGATACTGCGGCTATCCTAACCAGATCCCGGCATTCCTCCAAGAAGATTGTTAGACTGCAAT